TCTGTATACCTATTTCTAAGGTCACCTGTGAAATTCACAGGTAAAGGAAACCACGTGCCCTCTTTTTTAACCCTTTCGGAACACGCTGCAACGAACCATTTCAATGCAAACATGGCGGAGAAAATCTTGCACTCGTATCAGTGTACCATGTCCAATTAACCTATAATGGATTAATGGATTATGCGATTGTATTTTCTACACACACCTGAATATTCAATCTACTATACAGGGGAGCCTGCAAAATATATGATCAATTTTCGTAGATCGCGGGGCCCGGTTCCGGTGAACCTGCCTTGCGCCGGCCCTGCCTATGTTAATCTAGTATTGCTGTTCTTGGATTTCGAATTTTCAGAACCACTGAGACATCGCTGCCCAAGTATCTCAGTTTCAATTTTGTAAAATAGAAAGTTGAAAGGACCTACTTCAGCAAGTACATTTAAATTTTTAGCTGAATCGCGAAGCTGAGAAGAACACATTAAAAATCAAACGACGTTATAAATGGGACAAAATGCGTAGAATTATATCTAACTAAAGTTTAACACTAGATTTACGGAACCCGTGAATTTGACGGAAGGGTTGCTCGAATTATACGATGGTAACAGATTTAGTTAACTTATATTGAGACTGTTAATATAATATATAATTGTTTTTAAATTAAACTAATCGTTGAAAAAAACAGGCACGTGGTTTCCTTTGCCTGTCAACTTGACAGGTGTCCTTAGAAATAGGTATACAGATAGCGTCAATAAACTTAATGTTAAAGACCCTGTCTAATCAGCTGATTAAAAATTGGCACGTTATCCCTATGCTTGGTGACAGTGAATACATAAAAGTTCCTAGATCACTGAAACTCGAAGTTGACACAATTTTGTGTGAAAAAGAAATAAAAATAAAAATAAAAATATACAAACAGAGGTGCAATGTAGTAGCTGTTTTACAGAGTAAAGAGCTTGGCTGAATAGATCTAGGGTAAGATAAGTGTGTTAACATTAATAATCATTCTATTAATACCCGAGTGGTATGTAAAAGCAGTTTTATGTTGTTGTATATGAAGTAAGTTGTATCATCTTAAATGAAAAGTTGTAACGTTGATTGAGAATCAATTTCTAATATGTCAGAACAATTTTGTGAGAGGAATCTTTATTTGGATGGCGTCGCCCTTCGTCTCAAAATGTATCCATTGTCCTGGCAATGTATCCTTCAAATGTAATGATCCTATATATAAATACCATTTTTTTTAATAAAAATTGATAATCATAATTTTGAGTCTAAAGAAAATAAATTTCGTTCAAAATAATAATTTAAAATATATGGAGACCTATCTTTGCTTCGAGGAACCATCCAGCTTATCAATTCTCGAAGCTGCGTTGAGTGATGCAATCAGTTGTCATAGGGCCTATAAAATCCTAGCTGAAGGGTTCGATGACACACTTTTTGACAGTCCACTATCTACAGCAGGCATCATAGAAGACTCTCGAGCCTTCGTATATTTTATACCGTCAAGAAATATAAAATACAATTAGAATCAAAAGTTCCTTTCGACTTATTAATCCGATCTTCACCACAATTTTGACCTCATCTCGACCTTGGACTCCACATTCAGCTTCGTCCGATCCACTGCAGTCTCGATAGATAAAATATAATAATTTAAATCGTCACTAAATTCAATAGAGACATGTCAGAGTAGATACATAATTGGTTAAGAAGAGGCAAGAATAGAGCAAGACATCGAATAACGTTTGAAGATGTATTTCTGACTGACTTGGAAGAGTTCGTCGAATGGGGTTTGGACACCCAAAAGGTTGAAAGCCAACTCGAAGGAACCTGTCCTGGTAGAAGCGCCTGAGAGTCTAACTCGGTGTCGCCAGGTGACACCGTTTTGCACCTCTGATAAGTACCCCGGCACGGCTATTCGAAGCCCGACAACGGTACTGATTATCGATTCAGTAAAAAAGTAGAGGCGACAACTGCTTACAAATTCATCCAGCAGGATGATGCAGCGACTGCTGCAGGGCGGCGACGTCTTTTTTGCACACAGTGTATAGCAGGTCGAGAGGACGCACCTGAATAATGTCCTGGGACAGCACAGGGGTTGACGTTTGTCGTGGCAGTGCCTAGCGTGCTGCTGTTCCACCTACCAGCCTAACATAACTCCCTCCTCGCCGCCCTGCCAGCCATACCGAAGCCTCGTTCCTGGCTTCCAACGTTGGGTTCATCCTGCCCACCAAGATTCATAATTGTCCCCGTCCGAGCTGGCATATCGCGGAAGCAACCAGGGGACACGAAAGTGGTTATGCGCATTCCTATCCACCGTGGAGAATCACTGGAGGTGGCCCGGGAGGGCGAGGGTCATCAGTAGCGATGGGAACAATACTGCTGGAGCTGCGATCAAGGGGTGCTTCTTTCATGACCGTGGTTGTTGGACACCCTTCCTGCTTTCAAGGCAACTTCCAGAGCTTCCGAGTAAAAGGAACTGATCCACGTTGCATTCCAAAATTCAACAACATTGGATACTGAATACTCAGGACTGTTCAAAATTAGGAAATTATGTACCATGTCAAAGTAGCCAAGGTTAGTCTTCTCAGTTTCAGAGGAATTTAAAAATATTCGTGAGCCATACAGGGGAAATAAAGGTCCTTGGAAATAAAAACTAGAAAATTCAAAATTCTGTTTCATATCAAACCAATCAAGGATAGTCTCCTTGATTTCAGAAGAATTAAAAGAAAATCGTGAGCCATTCAGGAGAAATAAAGGTGCTTGGAAAAGAAAACCAGAAAATTCAAAATTCTGTTCCATATCAAAAACTAGTCAAGGATAGCTTTCCTGGATTCAGAGGAATTTTAAAAGATTCGAAGAATAATAAGCTAACGCCTAGTATATAAAATTCAAAATTCTGTTTGGTATCCAACACAGACAAGGATGGTCTTAATTTCAGTTGAATTTTTGAAGAATTTGAAGAAAAATAATCTGACCTCCACAGTATGCAGTGTTTCCTGTAATGTCATTTAAGTTGAACATCTGAACTTTCCATTACTATAATAGTGACCTTGAAACATCCTTCAGGATGACCTTGACCGACTTCTCGCTTACCATCACCAGATGCACGCATTGGAAATTTTAAAACTCTCTTTAGATATTTTTTCTAGACCCAGTAGTAACGGAAATTATTTAAGTGTTCAATTTAAATGGGACACTCTGTATATAAAAGAGGACAAGTTTTGGAAATACCGAAGATCAGTTACTGTTAAAAATCTCAGCCAGTGGAATTTGAAGAATTCTAACTTCTGATCCTGGTTCACTTGGATCCAATTGAAGAACCTTGACGATGACCCAATGAGATAGAGATCCGAAATTCGAAATTTGGGAATTCCAAAAGTTCCCGTGGCAATGTCGCCTGTCCTGCGAGATGAAAAGAACAATCTTACTCGTAAACTCGTGACGTGGGGATTGGAATACCCATCGCTAGTAACGAAAGGATAAGGTCGATGGTCCCCAACGGTTGAATACTTGAATATTGATTAAGCATGCACATCGCGATTACTGAAAGCAGGTAAAAACACCGAGCTGCGTGTCCACGGATATTTATAAGGGATGCCGGTCTGTTCTTGTCCCTCTCTAACCTCTACCAGCCGGAAAAAAAGTCAACTCGCAGATGTACAACCAGATCAGACCACGTACCATTTCATCTACAATCAGAGTTTCAAGGATTAACCTTAGACTCATTGTTCCAGCACGATCTGACCTACTTCCAGAAAGCCTCTGTCCCTCTTTCAAATGGGCAATTTAATATCCTTTGTTGCGTTTCTAGATCTCGTATTACTGACGCACACTCTATTAGCCGCAATGCCGATCAAGAAACTTGAGAACATACCTCCTGTTCCTAGTTGCCTATTTCTATGCAAGAATTGGTATCGAAGATTCACAGTTTCGTCTAATCTAGAATTGTCATTAAATGTGTAGAAAATGAACGCCTAAAGGTTAGACCGAAGACTCAAAATGGGTACCTCATTTCTCCGTTGTATAGAACAATGTGTTCGTCAACTGCAAGTCTACTTCCCCCTCCACTGTGTCTATATTCCGTTCGTTTACACCGTCTTTCTGGCCCTTCACCTCTCTGCTCTCGTCGTTATTTTCTTCCTTTTCGTTCGTCTCTTCTATCGAGTAAAATACTTTAACAAATGAACCAAATTAATTGTCGTCATTTCCAAAGATATTTATGTTCGATCCGAGAAAGTGTGGACTAAAGATATAATTACACGTGGTTGGATATTACGGTCCCTGATCAGTGTCGCTAACCCCAACAACAGACTTCATAATACGTCATGGCGGCAAAAACTTCGCGTTTGACGATCTTAGGTTCCAGCATCACGTGACCGACTTCCGTGGCCGTTGACCATAATCATCCGCCTCTCGGCAGGGAAAAAAAGTATGGTAAAACAGAACGGAAGAGAAAAAGCTCTCGAGTTTTGAATATTCAGTAGGTACATCCTGGTCGACTTCCACCTGACCCTCTTTTCGCGGGAAAAATCGGCACGTTCTGGCTTGTTTTCGACGCTGTTCTGTCTACCCGAGCTCCCGACAAGCCGGTGTCGACATCACTTATAATTAGTCGGTCGTCAAGCCGAAAGAAGAGTGCAGAGGATGATCAGTTTGATGCAAAGTTAAAAATAAACATTTATTGATTTGATGTATCGATAAAACAGATTAGTCATCCACGGATATCGCATAGTTTATCAGCAGAATATCAATCGGTAACTAACCTGCTGATGGTAAGTTCTACAGTCGATAACAAAGGCAAACCGATATCTCAATTTTTCTTACCTATTAAATAATATCTTAACTATTTAGTAGTATACTTCAATCATTAAATAGCGTTCCTTTCATTTTGCAATCAATTTCGTTCCTTTTCCAAGTTTAAAGCGACACTTGGTCGATGTGGGTTTTGTTACAGGTTAATAATAAAGCGCTCTCTGTTATCGGCCAATAAAATAATTACTTACCAGGATAATTGCAGTCGTGTTCGTCGCTTCCATCGTCGCACTCCTTGACGAAATTACACCGTTGCGATTCCAAAATGCACCTAGACACGTCGCAGGCAAATTCTCCGGGACTACAACCTGTAAAAGGCAAACGATTTCTAACCTCCTGTGAACGTATATGCTACACAATTTTCTTGCGCAAAAGAAGAAAGATGCAATTAAACGCGATTAAAAAAGCAAATGTTTAATATTTAACGAACTGCAGCGAGTGTATGTACAATTATGATGAAGCATCTACACGAGCGGGAAATAACCTATACCTGGATGGGGACAACCAATCTCATCATCGCCATCGTCACAGTCCTTTACACCATCGCAGCGCTGCACAGAGCAGATGTAACGACTTTCATCGCTACAACGAACCGTGTCATCGGCCCGACAGTTGCCCAATTTCACTTTGCTATCTATGATCCCATGATACTCCTCAGTGATCGACGTATCCTCTGGTTTCTCGGTGGTTTTAAGGGGAATTGTGATGTTCTCGTAATTCGTATTTATCGCTACTGTAGTTGAGATGAACGGATGTGACGTGTACCGAGCGGTGATTAGCGGGATGGATATAAATTATAAACATAAAGAGAAAAAAGAAATATATGTGAAACGAGTTTCACGTAGGCTAAGTTTAAAAAATAAAAATTATAATTAGAAATAAAATGTAATATCGAATATCGAAGGTGATTAATTTAAGAAATAAATTGGCATGCTTTAAGGTTAATTACAATAAGAGCACAGTAATTTATGCGGCTTGTGCTACAAGTATAACGCATTATTGTACACCGTGGAGGAATTCTCATGTATTTACATATGTTACATCGAATTCTAATTACTACTTACGCGTTGTTGTTACAGGGCAATCTATTTCATCGGAGGCATCTAGGCATTGCGCAATTCCGTCGCATCTCGAGTCTAATGGCACGCATTCGCCATCTTTGCACCTTAACTTGGTTGACTCGTCGCACTCCTGCTCGTCATCGTCTTTCGGGCCTAATTTGTGTTTCGTGTGTGACGTGTGGAATCATCGAGTGGACAAACGAATGCAACAAAATGATAAAGAAAGAAAATAAAATAAAGCTGGAGTACGAGAGATAAAACTAGGTCTAATTACATATACAACTAGCATTTCATGCAGACTCAGCACGTAGACTGAATTGACCGATTCTTTCAGCTAGGTTCAGCCGATCATCCATCTTATCTTCGGAAGATTCTTTCGTTCAGAGACGGTCAGCAACTTGGCTAAGATGATACGAGTGCCTCCAAGGAAGAATCGATCATTCCCACGTCATGCTGGTAAGACCAAATTACCTTGGAATATTCTGAACGTGAATCCATCCGGACGCACTTGGATGTTGCCCAACGAGTGGTACTGCAGCTGCTCCTCGATGATGTTCCGCATCTCCAAGTCATCCGTGAACGTCGAACCGATGTCCACGGTAACTTGCGACGTGAAGCTGTCGGTCGTTGGCCTGGATAGCAAAGAGGAATTGTTATCGTGCCTTAGATATATAGCCGCCTGAACAGCCTTAGATACTAGCCACTCGCACTCAACGTGCATTGGGCAACTTTCCTATTTTCGGAGAAATCTATTACCCTCCTTAACACTTTACCGACCGATAGCCTATTAATCGGCTATTTATTCCTGACGTTTACCGACCGATAGTCTATTAATCGGTTGTTATCTCCGACGCTTACCCACCGACAGTGGGTAATTAATCAGATGCCATAACAAACAATAATTTGTTATTTAGCATCGAGGTACAACTAGTTAGTTTGTTCTGTAAACTCCTACAACACAGCTGATAGGACATGCGTATTATGATGTTGAACTGCTACTAGTCGGTAAGATGTTAATATCGGGAACAAATTTTCAGTTTTACACGGTGGCGAGCCCAGACGTACTGCCACGATACTCACGATATTTTAATAACATTGGCGTAGTGATACTCATGGGGTATCTGGCGGTTCAACAACTCTTCGAGGGGCTGCGTTAAATTATGACTTAACTCCTTGTACTCTTTGCTATTCCTGTCCGCGTATTCTCTCCTATACGGCTCTCCAACTGTCAGAGTTATCCTGTAGTACTCTGAAAAGTCGTTCTTGGATTAGCAAGGATCGGTTATATAAATAGCTACCAAACTTGGCGAATTATAAGCCTACTTCTTTCTCCTCTGAAAGGTACGTGATTCGTGTTGGGGTACTTTTCAGTGGCGCTGCCTTCCACTTCTCCAGATCCATCCAGGTCCTCGTCATCAGTGATGGCAAAATTATCTGGTTCTCTTCGGCCCTCTGCAGCGTTCCCGATCTCGTTGTTCTGTCGATAATAACGAAAACTACAATCTCCGATCTATACTGAATCAAAGATCTATACTCCGTGCAACGAGACGAAATACAGACTGCGATTGAGCAATGACTGCGTGATCAGATCAGGGTCGACAGTACCCAATGATTTCGTGCAATATTTTTGGAACAATGGAACACTCAATACTGAACGTTCTTCCAAGGGCCCACAATAACTGAGTCATAAAATAGACCACTTAATCGATCACACAGTCGTTAATTAAACATCGGTAGGGGACTAGGGCTAAAAGTTCCCGGGGTAAGTGGTTCCGATACTTGTATCTTCAAGATGAAATGATACACTGTTACGATTTCAACTATTTTCGATATTTGTGACGATTACGGAAATAGATAATGCAAGTGCAATAACGAGTTAACTCGTCATCGGTCAACAACGTTTGGGCATGAAAGGACGAGTTAACTCGTCACCTGTCAACAATGTATTAAATATAAGCTTAAAACCTTAAATATAATAAATTTATTAACGAATTAGCCAATGGAGAGAAGAATAACTACATTATTTCTTAGTTACCTTTTGTATTATCTCAAAATCGCAACTTTTAACCCCAGTCTCCCCTACCTTGTTTCTTTAACACTAGATTTACGGAACCCGTCAATTTAACTGATGGGTTGCTCCAATTATACGATGATAACATATTTAGTCAACTTATATTAAGACTGTTAATATTGTGATTGTTTTTAAATCAAAATTTAACTAATAGTTAAAAAAGAAAATTGCACGTGGTTTCCTTTACCTGTCAATTTGACACGTGTCAGAAACAGGTATACAGATAGTGTCCGTAAATCCAGTGTTAAACGGAGTATAGGTATTTGAACACGCGATTTCCACAAAACTAACCTCGTTTTCGTCGTATTCTTCAGCACTATCACGTGCCTGTCTCTCGGAGTTGACTGAAGCCTTGACACTGGACACTTGAGGCTCAGTGTTCCCTTCTGCGTCAGAGTCAGGCAGAGGTGCATCCTCTAGTTCGTTCTCCGCGTTGTCTTCTCCGGGTTCTACGACAGACGAAATGGAAACAATTCGAACGATCGAATCCGAAATAGAATTCGGGTATTTATTAACCCTTTGACTGCCACGCCGAAATCACACGTTTCCCTCAGTACGTCACAGGAGTGCACCGCCAGATGCAAGATTTGTTCTAATATGTTTTTGATGTTCTAATAAAAATTTTTAATTGTTCAGTAGGGCACTTTTTATTTCAAAGTATCTTCTAATTAGCGGCTATATTCAAAATGCACTAACTGTCAATTTTCATTCAACGTAGTTGAATGCAGTTCAAGTAGTTCAAGCGCTCCGGTCACCAATGACCACCGTGGCGCCACAGGAGAAAACATGGCCGGTCATATATGACCCCAACGTGGCAGTCAAAGTGTTAAGGGGGTATTCTATGCTAGAATCTTCAGAAAATCAATTTTTTTAATTTCATTTTCCGAATGAAAATATGCCTTTGAAAATATTTCTACCAGTGGATATCGTTGGATTTGAAAGACTGGCGAAGTTATTAGCGTTTGTTCATAGCGTGCGACGCGCATACACATTCGTATGAAGTAACACTAAACCTACTATAGTCTAAATCACCGATATCCAAACTTTCGTTAAAAATTTCGTGTTCAATGTTATCACTTTAATCACTCGTCTTCGCGATTTTTGTTACAATATACGTATAATCATTTTCTCGATGTCTCCCATTAATCCATTTTTTAAAGCTTCTGCTTCTATTCCATTCACCGGTTATAGCAAATTTAGCGTTAAATGCGCTTTTCACGAAACCATATTTTTCCAAATGGTTGTCACGATATCTCAAGTTTCAGCTGATCTATTACGACCAAATTTGGTGAGCATCTACAGCACGTGTATCTCAATCATCTGAACCGAAATTTTTAAAATCCAACGTTTTCAACTATTTTTTTCGGCACGTTGAAGTTGAAAAAGAAGCACAAAGAATGGATAATGTTAACGATATTCGTTACCTGGAGCCTCGGTAGTGGAGGAGGTTGTAGTGGTGCTAAAAATGTCGAAGAATCTTCTTATCCTCTGAAGCAGGGTGTCGTGTTGACGTGTCTCTATCATGGGCAGCTCTCCAAAGAATTGCTTGCCATCCTGGTCGAAGACCAGATCGTCATTCTGCGAACAAACGGATTCGCCTATAGTCTAACTCTTCGAGCCACGGACAATTCCCTAGAATTATCCCTAGGAAATGGTTCCAGTGACTTTTCTCCGGCAACAACGTCGGGTCTAGGGTATTAAAAGATTCAAGGAACCCGGGCAAGCACACTGCGAATATACATTTGCCTGTTTGAAAGGAAGAGACGTTACAAACGAGGAGACCCCGTGCAGCCAGCGTACATAACGAGTGAGATACATCGGGTGCTCGCGAGTATCGCGCAGTGTGCTCACGTGCAGCTCATAAAGAACCAATTCTCACCTAAACACGCGATATAAATTCAGGATCGGCCGCCCATTCGACCGGCCGTGATTCGCTGGCCAGGATTCGACGTCGCGGGTCAACGACGTCTCTTCTGAAGGAGCAACAACGTATCTACGCCCAGGGGGTGGGAAAGAGGAAGGGTGAGAGTCCAGGCGAGCATGGCCAGGCCGAGATAAAGTATCGTTACGCGAGGAAACGACTGACGAGCTTATGCAACCGGCAGCCGCGTCGATATTACGCTACGACGCGAATAACAAACCAGACATCTCCCACGAATCTATACGTGACGAATCGAACGTCTTGAAGCGAATATAGGATGCCTTCCATGGCTAACCACGAAGCACAGTTGCGATTCTAGGTGCTGGAGAGAAAAATACAGTTTTCCTGGTCACCTGAACCGTTTCGTCAGCGTTGTACGATTGTAAAGATAACCTTATTGGCATCCAAAGTGCACCAATGACTCGGGAGTCAATCCCAAGTCAACGGATGTTCGCCAAAAACCCGAAACCTAACTGTACCTTTCTTTATTACATCATCGTATACAAACTAGACAAGCATCATCCGAAACGAACCAAAGTCCATAGCCAATACTGAGTCAACCAATATATTCCGATGGTATGAAAATTGTCATCCAAATTGGCATTCGAAGTCCACCAATGACTCTAGAGTCAACCCAGAATCAACGGATGCTTACCAAAAGCCCAGTACTAAATTGTACCTTTCCTTATCACGTCATCGTATAGAAACCCTAAACCAGACAAGCATCATAAGAAACGAACCGAAGTTCATAGCCAATTATGAGTCAATCAATATATTCCGATGTCATCCAAATTAGCATTCAAAGTGTATCAATGACTCGGGAGTCAATCCCAAGTCAACGGATGTTTGCCAAAAACCCGAAACCTAACTGTACTTTTCTTTATTACGTCATCGTATAGAAACCCTAAACCAGATAAGCATCATCAGAAACAAATCACCAAAGTCCATAGCCAATTTTGAGTCAACCAATATATTCCGATGGCATTCAAATTAGCATCAAAATTGGCATCCAAAGTACAACAATGACTCTAGAGTCAACCCAAAATCAACGGATGCTTACTAAAAACCCAACACCTCACCGTATAGAAACCCTAAACCAGCCAAGTCTGTTCCAAAACTAACCAAAGTTCATAGCCAATCCTGAGTCAACCAATATATTCCGATGGCATCGAAATTGGCATCCAAAGTGCACCAATGACTCGGGAGTCAATCCCAAGTCAACGGATGCTTGCTAAAAGCCTGATACCTCTCTGTGTACCTTTCCGTATCACGTCATCGTATACAAACCCTAAACCAGACAAGTCTCATCCAAAACGAACCAAAGTCAACCAATATATTCCGAAACAAAGAAAGATATTTCACTTTTCTTATGCTTCATTTTACTTTCTACCTGACTCGAGCGAACTGTTCAAATTTAAAAAACACAGTAGACCGCCTCACATTCATTTGTTTCATCATTCGGTTGTTTTATACTTCATTATGTTCGTTTGCATACATTTTATCTAACACAGCCATCGATTGAAGGATACCTTTGCGTTCAAATTTTCCGATGCATTATTTTATTTTGTTTAATCTTGCATTATGTACAATAACTACGAATTTCCCAAAGTGTCAGCTTATTTTGTATTAATACAGATTAATTTCTATATTTTTTATTTTAATTTTACGTATACCTCTATTTTCTTTTCCTTATACATATGCCGGCTGCGATAGATGGACGAATACTTATGCGACCGACTGTATATAACACCCGGACCTCTTTCGCGATTAATTCAGTGATGATGCTTTTTGTTTGCTGAGTTTTCTGCCCGTAGCTTCAATGGCCAAGATAATATGCTTCGTATTATGATAATTCATAAAATGAAGACATATTTGACCCATCTATTCTTTTCGCTGTCCCATTGAATACTGCGCTAGTTGAAGAGAACTGTAACTTGCAACTCTCCACGCAATCAGTTGTTTATGTTACAGCGATAAGACTAGGACCTGCAGACGATGCTGCTCCTTCGCTACGCTAAAATTTCGGGTCAGCACTAACACACGCAGCTTCGTTACAGTAGATAAAGAAGCAAGGTCTCTAGCGCGTTGAACGCCACGCTGGTTCCTAGGGACCGGCGCTAGACTATCCTTTCAGGCCCCGCCGGTCTTTACGGCCCGGAGGGGCCCACGTGACGGCTAACTATGGCGTAGACGGCACGTCACGTAAAACCAGTAAGGCGTTTAACACGTTGAGTGCTACGTCAGTCCCTAGGGACTGACATGTGTTTGGATAGTAAACTGTTAGAAGCTGTCGCTTATCCAGTTATCCAACCTCCGCGAGGGCGATGGGGATAAAACACCCACACACCCCTCTATGGAGGGGTTGGGATACGCCCAACCAGCGCGAACCGAAAGTGCCAAGAACACAATCGGTCCTGCCAATTTGTCTAACTGGGATGCTAGCCCCAGTCGACTCCCTGGTGTTGGGACGGGACCTTTCTAAATCCCTACTGCCTCAGGAGGACAGCACCCGAGCTGTACGATGCGCAACTCTCACGCCAGGCTTCGAGAGCCCTTGCCTGTGATGTAGGCTCCAACCACTGCCACCACGAGGCCAACCCAGCGACCGACGGGCGGACTGCCATAAGACAGCCGGCCCAGGGCTAAATCGGTCTCCCGTGGTACCAGTGATCACGGGCGTACCGGTCGTCCCGTTCGTGGCGAACCACTACCGTTCTGAGGCTGCTAGCCCACCTCGACGTAGGTGCACGTCAGCTAGGCATCGTGGGGTCGCCAATTACATACTACGGCCAACCAAGGTCGACCGCAGCCCATGCGGGGTCCCTAGGGACTGACAGTAGACTTTTCGTTTGGACGGTGTGGATTCTAGGAACTGACAGCGAATATTTCGTTTGATCATCATCGGTGCGTAAGACTGGCATTGTCAAGGGTTAAATTATCAATGACAATTAATATATTGTAAAAATTTAATTCCCTCTGCTAAAGTAAATCTTTACACTCCCGTGGCTTTTTTCGACTGATCGTTTCTCGGTGATCGCCTTTTTGCCTTTCTGGCATTCCCCACCTCATTATCTTCTGTTTATAATTTGTATATTTGTGCATTGGCTGTACCATTCTCAGTCCAAACGACAAAGTGAAACAAAGTAATCTTCTGCTCATACCCATCGGTATACTTGAGCGCTCGGCATCGAGTGCTCACTAGCTGCCACCTGAGCGGAAAGTATAGCAAAATCGGCGCCACACTCAACGTGTTAACGTGTTAACGTGTTAACTCGAATCCCTTCGACTTCCCGAACCACACCTTCTACAGAACATACATTTATTATATAAGACAAGTTAGGCTGAACATTGGTAAGGGTCGTGGCCTGTTATTCGTGACTTGGTGAGGGCCGATGAGTAGCCGTGAAAAATATTATAACAACGAGATAACAATGACCGACGAGCGGCAATATATAAGTAACGACAGCCGAGTGGAGACGTTATTTGTTAATTTAACACGTTAAACATCACGTCGATCCCTAGGGAGCCGGATCCTATACTTTCCGTTCAGGCCTCGCCGATCCGTACGGCCCGGAAGGGCCCATGTGACGGCTAACTGTGGCGTGAAGGGAACGGCACGTAAAACCAGTGTGGCGCTTAACGTGTTAATTAAAATCCCCTACAATAAACTGGACCTTTAGGAGAATTAACTGCTTTAGCAATCGGGAGCTCACATTTTATATCAGATCGTCTTTTGTCTTCGCAGGGGGGCTCGCGTAGCGGAACGCTCTCGATGGTTCCGATCTTTCTAGAACCATGAGCCGCGACACGCACCCCTGCGCCATTTGAGCTTATATGAGCCGTTCACTGCACAAATTGATTAACTCCATAAAACAAAAAGTGGAGAAATGCAATGAAATAATGTATATTGTTTTTTAAAATTCCCTTTATAATTTAAATCGAAATAAATATTGCAGAATGCATAAATACAAATGTAACTTTCATCTAACGGTATATAAAATTTATAAGAAAAATAGCCAGAAGGTAATCGTTGGTAATGTTACCATTTTTATGTTACTGGAAGAGTTAATCGATTTGGCAAGTGAAAAAAGTAATAAATTTAAATTCAGTGTTTAAATTTTTAAGTTTTTAACACGGAAGAAGAAAATTATAAGATATTTTCATTACAGATTTTTCATAAAAATGAATATTAATAGTTTTGTTATAATATATTATTATTTGTGATTAATTTTCTTCGGCAAAATAAATGATGTCTTCTTCATCAGCTGTACGCGAGGACTCGTCACTTCGTTTTGTTCTCAAGTTTTTATAGTAATCGTGTTTAACAGGAGGAATGAATTTCAGCAGGTCCATCGTGTCTCTCCCTTTTTCCCTTGTAACAGTTCTACCTTTAGGATATAATAAAGGCTGATCTACATTTTTCAAACTTTATAGTCTACCTGCTACAGATTTCCTTATATTAATGACATTAAATTCTGAATCCTCATTATAGTCATATTTGAATTGTACGAGGTGGGCTTTGGACAATTAGAGTACATTAGAGTACGGAGTTAATGAAAGTGATCTCTGAAATAAATTATTTATTATTCAGTGGCCAAAAAATTTGTGTCGTTTAATGGTGTTGATCCTAATTATCAGAGAAAGTTATTCTAAATAT